GGTGTTGTGGTGTTCATGTGTTCAGGTGTTGTGGTGTTCATGTGTTCAGGTGTTGTGGTGTTCAGGTGTTGTGGTGTTCATGTGTTCAGTTGTTGTGGTGTTCATGTGTTCATGTGTTGTGGTGTTCATGTGTTCAGGTGTTGTGGTGTTCATGTGTTCAGGTGTTGTGGTGTTCGTGTTCATGTGTTGTGGTGTTCAGGGGCCTGTTTCAGAAAGGAGGTTAAGTGAAAACTCTGAGTATGTTAACCCTGAAATGAGGGAAACTCTGGGTTTTCTGTTTCAGAATGGGAGGTAAGTCAAACCTGAGAAAGCAGAGTAAGTCAAGCCCGTTTCTGAAAGAGAGGTAACTTATACTCAGAGTCAGTTACCATGGTAACTCACTCTGTGACCCTAACCTGGTCGGGAGCAGGTTTACTTCGGTAAACCTAGAGTTTATTTCGGTCTCCTCCCCTTTTTTAAAGAGGAAGCGGTGTTTAAACACCTCATTCATTATTTCGGTACATTTATTCATTGCTGTTTCTTTTTTCCAATTTTTTTAATAAGATGAACTCTATATAACTTCTTAACTGGCAACTGAAAATACAGTAGATTAGAGTTACATTATGTAGTTCTAAACACATTCTACAGAATTAAACTGTGGCATTCACTGAAAATCACTGAACTGTGTTTATCTGTGCACCAGAAGTTGATGGACCTTCTCCTGCTGTTCTTCCACACTCTGGGGACAGGGGGAGAGATAAGAATATCCGTTTATACTTAGAATTAAACTTAGATTCTATAGGCTACTCTACATAAATAATGTGAAGAAATCTGAATGTGTAGATTGTTTGTTGTGTAGACAATATTAACATTTCCTAGTAGGCCTCTCTGTGGCAGCAGAAACTGTTTCTTCATCCCCATCGTCCTGTGAAGATGAGCATTTGATTGAGCACATTTTATAATACTATTTGTCATAATTTCTGGTGTATTGAGTAGGCTACTTACAACTGTCTGGGGTTCTGTTGGGACAGGAGGCTCCAAAAGACAGATATTACCATAAGAATCGGTTTGGAGCAACAAAAAACCCAACCCAAAGTAAAATATATGGAAATATCAAAAACAGCCTAAAAAAATAATACATATGTAGACCTCTTATACATTTTATGAAGGCAATTGAATCTTCGGGACGGGAGTCACTGGCTCTGATGAAGTCCCTCAGCCATTGGCCTTCCAGCATTCAGGCTCAGGGCCATCTGCATATCCATCTCCTCTGCATCTTCATCTTCATCTCCTCTGGATCTTCATCTCCATCTCCTCTGCATCTCCATCTGCATCTTCATCTCCATCTGCATCTTCATCTCCATCTGCTCTTCATCTTCATCTCCATCTGCTCTGCATCTCCATCTGCTCTGCATCTTCATCTGCATCTTCATCTTCATCTCCATCTGCTCTGCATCTCCATCTGCATCTTCATCTCCATCTGCTCTGCATCTTCATCTGCATCTTCATCTCCATCTGCTCTGCATCTCCATCTGCATCTTCATCTCCATCTGCTCTGCATCTTCATCTGCATCTTCATCTCCATCTGCTCTGCATCTTCATCTGCATCTTCATCTCCATCTGCTCTGCATCTTCATCTGCATCTTCATCTCCATCTGCTCTGCATCTTCATCTGCATCTTCATCTCCATCTGCTCTGCATCTTCATCTGCATCTTCATCTCCATCTGCTCTGCATCTTCATCTTCATCTCCATCTGCTCTGCATCTCCATCTGCATCTTCATCTCCATCTGCATCTTCATCTCCATCTGCTCTTCATCTTCATCTCCATCTCCTCTGCATCTTCATCTCCATCTGCTCTGCATCTTCATCTTCATCTGCATCTGCTCTGCATCTTCATCTCCATCTCCTCTGCATCTTCATCTCCATCTGCTCTGCATCTTCATCTCCATCTGCTCTGCATCTTCATCTGCATCTGCTCTGCATCTTCATCTCCATCTGCTCTGCATCTTCATCTTCATCTCCATCTGCTCTGCATCTTCATCTGCATCTTCATCTTCATCTGCATCTGCTCTGCATCTTCATCTCCATCTGCTCTGCATCTTCATCTCCATCTGCTCTGCATCTTCATCTTCATCTGCATCTGCTCTGCATCTTCATCTCCATCTGCTCTGCATCTTCATCTCCATCTCCTCTGCATCTTCATCTCCATCTGCTCTGCATCTTCATCTCCATCTGCTCTGCATCTTCATCTCCATCTGCATCTCCATCTGCTCTGCATCTTCATCTGCATCTTCATCTCCATCTGCTCTGCATCTTCATCTTCATCTCCATCTGCTCTGCATCTTCATCTCCATCTGCTCTGCATCTTTATCTCCATCTGCTCTGCATCTTCATCTCCATCTGCATCTCCATCTGCATCTTCATCTCCATCTGCTCTGCATCTTCATCTCTGTTACGCACCCTTAGACAAAAGGTCTTTAAAGGGGCAACATTGAGGTCGTGACCAGAAGATGGTGTAT